TGCAATTAGAAAATATTCAGTTTAATTTATACAGGTAACACAATCATATCCTTCAACATATTTCTATCTAAGGAAAACGAGCTGATTGCGAGGACCATTTAACACTCTGCAATCCCTCACACTGAGCATGCATGTAGAGACAGTGGAGAGGAAAACTCCCTTTTAATTAGAAGAAATCTCCAGCAGAACCAGGTTCAGTGTGAGCCATTTGCCAAGACTGACTGGAGTTCAAGGAGACAGAACCAGAGATACAAAAGGCGTAACTATAAAAGGCGGCCCCGTCCAGGAAACACACAGCCAGGCAGACGAGCTCCAAGTCAGCTTCCATGTCAGAGGATGAAGAGAGCACATCCAGTTAGTCGTAGTCAGAGAAACAGGACTACACTGAAAAACAGGCCGATCTCCAACATCTATATAAAAAAGGTGTTGATGGCAGCAGCAGAGCTGATATTTTTCTCCAGGATGGAGTCACAGCTAAACAGGAACAGACCAGATGAAGCTACTATGAGAAAAAGCAGAGAGAGCAGAACGTTAGAGATTGAACTAATAGATTCTGCAGAGTAGGAGAATAGAAATAGAATGAAGCAGAATGATGAAAATGGCTCCCTATGTCCTCCAGAGGTCTAAGCCAGATGTGTCTGGATTTGATGTTCAACAATATGACAGCAATTTTATAAGATTTTAAGCTTTAACATTTAGAGTAACTGTCACAGGTGAACATTTCTGAATTTCAGAAGAAAGGAATTCAAAAATTAGAAACAGATGATACAGATAGTGTTCTTTTCCAGGGATCTGAGTGAGAATGCCATCCAGGCCATCCCAAGGCGAGCGTTCAGAGGAGCCACAGACCTCAAAAATCTGTGAGTTAAAATGTTGGCTCGGTCAAAATCCAACGTGAAATGACTGAGAAAATGAATGACCTGTGCTGTTTGTATTACCAGTCAGCTGGATAAAAACCACATCAGCTGCATCGAGGAAGGAGCGTTCAGAGCTCTGCGATCCTTGGAAGTGCTGTAAGTATACCAAAGGTGGAAGACGTACTCCTGGGAGGTTTTTATCAAAGTTTTTAAATCCCTGACTCTGGTTAGTGTTAAAACTCTCCAACTGTTTATTTTTCCCATGCAGCACCCTGAACAACAACAACATCAGCACCATCCCAGTCTCCAGTTTTAACCACATGCCAAAACTCCGCACCTTGTAAGCGCACCCCTGTCATTCCCTAATGCTATCTGCAGGGAACCATTCAAACCCAGTTTTTTCTCTGCAGTCGTCTCCACTCTAACGCCCTGCGCTGTGACTGTCACCTGGCCTGGCTTTCCCCATGGCTCCGTCAGCGGTCTGCTCTGGGCCTCTACACTCAGTGCAGTTCTCCCCCAGCACTGCGGGGCCTCAACCTCGCAGAGCTGCGTAAGAGTAATTTCGCCTGTCCAGGTACAGTGATTAAAGGTTCAATCTGTAGGAATTGAAAAGGTACACGAAAGAACCTAAATACCAAAAAAAATGTTTGGCTCTTTACAGCACAACAATGGATTTTATATAAAATAAACCAGATGTGATTCAACTGCAGAATTTCAGCTTTAAAGTGCAGCTTTCACTAACCTAGTAGCCAGATTGATATGGTTTTAACTACGTTGAGGACTACGATATCAGCCTGGAAAGGCTGCCGTTCAGTCTGTAGGTGGAAAGGAGGGACGTTTAGTTTAATACTTGGAGCTGATTGGGTGACGTGCCAGCTAGTACCTAGCCTGACGTAGTCCTACTCAATTCTAGTCAGAATATGAGTCTGATGCTGCTCTATAGAGCTGTGATTATGGGGCGTGTTTCGAACGAACCAGGAAAAAAAACGCCTCTGCACTCAATTGGATAGACCTACAACCAATAAGAGCAACGGAGTGCGTGACGTATGTTAA